ACTGACTCATGTTTGGCACTGCTGCCGATATTTTTCTCTTGCTTAGTTTTGATTGTTACTCCTCCTGACTTATTTTCCTAAATCCACATTAATCCGCTCACACGACTATTTGTTCGAGCCATGGATCCAACTCTCACTTCACCTGGACGGCTTGTTGTTTGCCCGTAGCCGTTGGCTCGTATTGGCTGACTTGTTTCCTGACCTCCATAAGAAGGCAGGGGCTGGAGAACCTGGTTTATGGCAGACCCGTCGCTACTTTTGCTTTCCATAACCTGGCTAATGCAATTTCTCACCGCCTTTTCCAGCCATATCATCCTGTACCCAGGCTTACATGCCTGCTTACTCTTGCTTGATCCCGCCCCACTCTCTCCTATGAAGCAAGGCATGCCGCCTTGGATTAGGTGAGTATGACCAGTTGCTTCTACTTTCTGACTACATTGAGACTAATGAGATCTAAACACTTCAGTAAAAGTAAATATACGACACCTTTCATCTACCTTTCTTCTGTCTGTTTCTCCCTCATAATGTTCCTGCTGACTTTTGGTACCAAAACGCTGTTTGCACCCTTTTTTCTCACTTTCACCTAGATGTGGTAACCTGCTGGTTTTATATGTCTCCTTACTACTGCCACCAGTCACCTGGAACAAATTACACATGAATTCAGGGACAGTATTGCACCTAAACTTTTCCTGTTTTCAGGCTTTCCTATTTGGATTTTCCTTTTTACTATTCCTTGCCTCTCCGATGTTGCTTTGGTCCTCATACCTCCTCTCCCTCTTGCTCCAAGGTATAGAGCCACCCGCAATCCCATAGCTTCTTTAGATGGTCGCTGAACACAAAATACACAATCTTTCTCTTCGCTCCTCATTTACCATTTTTCTCCTGTTGCAATATATATATGTCGCTTACATTCACATTGCGTGATGTCACCGGTATCCTTGGTGGTCTCTGCTGCTCTCTTTCTCTCTTCTCTACCCCGAAAGTCGCAGTAGGCATCAGAAACGTGCCAAGGTGCCCCACCTGGCCTATGGGTCTGCGACCGAAAGTACCTACAAAGACAAACATGGATCACATCGGACCTCCAACACACTCACCTTCTTCCTGGACTATCACCACTGGTCAACTGGATCTGGATATGCATATGAAGGGAATTGGAACGGATGTGACACATCCACAAGAAAACTGCTCAAACAAATGATTACAACATACTTGAAACAATTTACCATATACGGAAGCCTACCCGAATTGCTGTACATCACCCGATCCCAGCTATTCCCCGATCCAATCAGATTGTGCCACTGCCCAGCCAAACAACAGTGAGTTAACCATTAGTGAACCGTATAACGCAGCTTTTAAGGGATACCCGTTGACTCTTGACTATTGATCTCGTTTTATTCATACTACCTGGTCATAAGCACTATCTAGTATTTTATCCACCTACTTAGAGTAATTCAGATCATGTCAACCGGCGGCGGATTTGATAACTGAACTGAAAATCACAGCCGATGATCGCCGTGCGATTCTTGGACAACAGCAAGCGCAGTTCGAATCCGCTCAACTTCGCATACTTGATACTCTAACACGTAACCTCTCGATAATCTGCAAGAAAAAGCGCCGCACGATGAACAAATCAATTTGGAGTCGATTGTGTCTACAATTCAGTTTTTCCAACATTACGTTTCATCTGGTGTTACATTTGAGTCCTGCTTCGATCGCTATGAGGACATAGTTCAGGTTGAGTTCGATTGCAACGAGGACGTACGGCGATCGCTAACACAGATTCGTAAGTTGGAGGACACGGAATGCGACCATTTTGTAAGCTACATTTTGACGAAACACGCACGTTATTTTTCATTCCATAACCCGTGCAGTGTCACACTCAGATCTTTGGGGAACGTTTCTTACTCTACCTTACACGGTATCACTGCTTAAAAATTAGCAAATACTCCATGATTGACTACCATACTTATGCAGGTATGGTCAAACGAGAGTGCGAACACTTCAAATTGGCATCCATGACAGAGACACAGTTCAAGCGTCTGATGTTTATCTGTGGTCCGCAGTCTCTGTAAGAAGCGGACAGCCTCACACAACTCCTCACCGAGCTCAAGCAAGACCCAAACATCAAGTTGTAGAAGATGGCCGATGAATTTCAACGCCTGCTTAACCTGAAGCATGGTTTTAGTGTGGTAGAACAGCAGCAGATCAACATGATGGATGTTACACCGGTCAGGTCAAAGCAGTAGGAGCCCAAAAAGCCGCCTACAGCATTTTGGAACCGTGGCATATGATACTACACATTACCATGCACGTTTCGCCGACATCGGTGTAATTAATGTCAACGTTTTGGGCAGGAAGATGGTTTCTGAAAGCCACACAACTGGACTAAAACTGACAATTCCAACAAACGATCTTCGAAGCCAAAACTGAGGTAGGCTAGCCGCAGCATTGCTGCCACTCGTCAGATCAACGTGATATCCCGCAGTCGGTACCTGACAATGAGAGTTAATGGATATCCCGTGACTCTTCAGTTAGACTTTGGATCGGACGTCACTACCACTACACAATCCATTTGGGAAGCCATCGGACATCCTCCAGTTTTGTCAACACAACAAACGGCCCTCAGTGCATCTGAAACTACTCTCGGCTTGATTGGTGAGTTAGATTGTTTGGTAATCTACAGTGAGCAAACGTTTGAGTCTATATGTTATCTCACTAATCAGCCAGGGCTGGATATTCTTGGTGTTGACTGGCTAGATATGCTCAATCATTGGAGTATTCCTTTTGATAAAGTGAGCAAACTGACGCTGGGTATTAGCGTTTCATCCTTACTTATCGATGCATGGGTTCAGCACACGATTTCACAGCGGTTGGTTCAGCGATACGCCGTAGTTTTTCAGGACGGCAGCCGACATCGTATTAAAATTAAGGCTTACTTATAGTGGAGAACAGATGTTAAACGAGTTTTTCCTCCAAAACGTCCAGTACGTTATTCTGTCCTAACCGGTGTTGAGCAAGAGCTTATTCGTCTACAAATAGCAGATGTCATACAACCGGTCGTTTATTCTGACTGGGTTGCTCCCATTGTGGCAGTACGTAAGGCTACTGGCTCCATCCGTGTATGTGCAGGTTTTCCAACAGATCAGACACATAGCCATCTAGTTTATGGTATATCAAATCTCATTGTAATCGTCGTTAAGTGTCCAGAGGTCATCGAATTGTTGACCTCAATCCTTGTATCAACCTCGATCAGACAGCTGCGCCAGGTTTTCAGGCGATTTGGTATGCCCGAAACACTTGTACCCGACAATGGATTACGGTTCACATCGAAGGAATTATGCATCGTTGGTAACTAGAGCCGTAGGTAACTTACCATTCGCACCGCGCGCTTTAGCTCCTGTGCTGACGTGGACTACTCAAGATATCCGGGGACGGAATTGGAACCTAATAATAGAAGAACTTTTGGCAGATGCTCCGAAATCTATTAGGTAAAGTTGTTGAAACAATTCGATATGATACGTATGGGTCTGGGGGCACCCGTTGTGTGTATTCTTAAGACACGCGAATTAGGCTTAAATTTAAACATGCGTTCAAGCTGCACTTTATCTGCTCGATTGTCTCAGCGGTACCTTGATTATGTAGATTCTGAGATTTGAACACTTCAACACTAGCACATGGATCATGATCTTAGTTTCGGTTAGGAATACTTTGAAATTCGAATCATGAACGAAACTGCTGTTGGAGTATGATGGAGGGAATCAAAATCCCTAAAAGCTACGATTATAGTCATTAATTCTGGCCTAGTCAGTTCACATGTATTCACACGGTAGACGACGCTTAATGAAAAGCTCGCCCTAACTGCAGCGTAATTGGATCTAAGCAAGTGTAGCGAATCGGAGGCCGCTGCAGAAGAACCTAGGTTCAATGCGTCACTGGTTCGACAGGATGACGTAATCTACATGTATGTCTGACTAGATCAAGAAGAATTACGAGGGCGCTTATAAGGAAAGAGTGGTACGCAGAAACAAGAATGCACTACCATGATACGAACAGCACTATGACAAAGACAATGTAAACCGAATGTCCTGCACTAAACATTTTCATATCTAGTTAAGGCAGTAACGACGATTAATTGTCGGCGAAGAGGACTGGACCGACACACATAAATAACGTCAAATCAGTTGTGATGAGTGAGTTCACTCAGTGAATATATGGGACAAGTGCTTGAACAAGACAGTCAATTGGGTCGCATCTGACGGATTCAAACAGCAGCAGATGTAGTTGCCCGTCAAGCAGTTCAATGGACTCGGTTTTGTTTGTCTGCACTACTGTAAGCTTGCTCTTAGTTTGAAGGAACCACTGGAAAACCGCATCGGTTCACCGACGTAATCACTAATGGAAGCTCAATTACAGTATACACTGAAACGATTCCCAAGTCAAGTGGACCCAGTTTTCGCTGGTTTTCCTCGTGCTCAGTAAACGACTTGCCCATGAAAGACCGACTTCTGAGACAAGTGACGCGCGTTTTCCATTTGAAAAGTTTAGATTCTGGCACACAAAAGCAAAACTGCTGATTTGCGCAGCACCAACCGTGATTTTGTTTGATCGACATCATGTTTCGCGGTTGGTATGTTACTCTGAATTTAAGCATGAATGTTAGAAGCAGAATGTGTGAATTTAGCCTGAAGGCCGTGGCCGTCGTCTTGTTTCTACAGGTTACCTAAATTAATCAACATTCCGCGAAAGAGGAGACTTCGAATAAGCTTGCGAAAATTTCTGGACGACCATGGCTCACATTATGTGCGGAGTAGGTTGTTAGGCTTAGTGTTCGCTGCAGTCATAATGGGTTATACGTAATCATAAAGAAAATACATCAGGACGGTTCCCAAACCAATTCCAACAGGGTTCCCATAAAACAGACAGAAACGTCGTACAAAATAATCGCACGTCTCTGCATAATAGCAGTGCAAATATCAGTTGCGGAAAAGCAGAATAATCTACGACAAACAGGAGGGAAAGTGTGCGAATTAAATCTGAAAACACATGCATATCGAGGATGCTTGGATGGGGCGAGGCCACGAAAGGGTGATGACGGTGACGCTTGTCAGTTGATCAAGGCCAGTTTCCGCTGTTTGTGCTTTTCCAACCAATGATCGAAAGAGGGTACTCGTTGTAGGATGGCACACAGCAAGTTGGAGGGAGTCCACTGATGTGTACGAATTAGTTCAGCCATGGCTTGCTTGGTCTAGAGGTGTACAAAATTAATATAAATGCGGGAACAATATGTACAGAATAAGGGTTGTCGGAATGAAATATCATGGGAATTTGCTGGAATGGGACCCAGCAGCGCACTGACGAAGTCACCTTGTTTGGTGATGAAACGTTTGCATTCCAACTCCAAAGCTCTGCGAACAAGTGCACTCAAGAACGATCGACCAGAGCTACCAGTGCATCGTCATTTTAAATTAAACATTCTGTTCAATACGCAGCCCAATCCGGCATATTAAGCACTTTCTCGTCATCATGTAATATTTGAGTCTGATGAGAATTACCGGAAAGAATTCCTTACTCAGATTCTGCCTCCCTTGATTCATTCTAAAAGTGGTGACTGGATAGGTACGACAAAACAACCAGTATATCTTAAGGATGTCCAGCTCATGAAGACACAAGCAGAATCATCGATAAGCCCATCTGCTTAAGGCTACCAACTTGCAAACTCGTAATCCGACGGTCATTCACCTTCAACCTAAATGGACAGACACAGAATCAAATAATTTAAACAGATGTCTGTGGCTAATATATGCAAAAGAATCCTCGAAATGCTTGCAAGAAAGGCGCCTATTAAATTCCCACTCGTACAACCCCGTAACTCCTTTGTATTATCGACGGAAACAAGATGGGATAAAACAGACTATGTCCGCTTTTCAAAAGCTCTATGGTTAGACGTCTACGCACAACTCGAGACCGTCTCTATGTTGGATCATTCCGTAAGGTAGAGTGAAGTATAATTCGGTTTTCCTAATTAACCTGTTAAGTATGATTTGTTACTGTTGTTTTGTCGGATTCTGCAAGAGTAGAGAATAGGTCAATCCCACGGAAAGGAAAAGCAGGCTAGGGGAGCACGCTGCAAATATTGGCGTTTATTCCAGACAAACAAGCGAACCGGAGGTGAATTACATTACACAGTGCAGCCTGCGCTACCTATCGTCCGATCGCTCATGGTAGTTGATTTCAAATAAACACTAGTCTGTTAATCGACATCTGTCCGATGTTTTACAATCTGGCCATTGGGCATTAGCTGGCTTTGACCTTGTGCTAAGGTCGTTCGGGTCTTCGGGGCAGGTGATCGTGTGATCACCACTCACGAGCTATATTGGCCTGCGCTCGAGAAACCGTATACTCCTAGCACCTTATCCCCTAGCTTGTTCCGTGTAAGATTTCCTTCTTAAATTAAGCGGGAACGCAGTTACTGCATTTCCTTTTCGGCTGGTTTTTTATCTGGGCTTGGGAGGGATATCTGTAGTTGATACTAGGTTACAAGCCGTTTTGACCCCAGCAGGCCTTTCCATTTTGAACACCTCCAAGAGAAGATAAAATGTAATAGAGCCATCACCATTCTTTTGATCACGACAGAACATTTGACGGTGTTCGTTAGCGTGGCGCTCTCACAACAATAGACCCACTGGACATCATACAGGACAAGCCAAATGCGCTTTATAATTATACGGACAGTCCACTTTTGATGATCACAGCGGTAGCCCCTGACAAGAACACGATTTTCCGGTAGCAAGATCTGTTTTTCTTGCGTTACTACCGTCGGCTAGCCCGAAACTGATCAGATAGCATCATGGGTTAGACGTTATTTCCGATATTTCGGAGGTTCAGCATAACGATCGTATGAAATGGGAATAGGATTTGCATACACAAAATAGTATGGAGAGCTGTTATATTTCAGTAAATGCGTGAGAATGAAACAACGAAGCGACCAGGCCCACTCGTGTGTTGCTTCATTTTACAGGTAATCCAGTTTATCTTCATCCATGCTAGTCACAAGGACACATCTGCGTGTATAATCACTACCAAGTTGAGCAGAGGGCCGTTAGGCACATGCATTTGGTTTGCGTTATTTCCTCCGCCGAGTGAAACGGACTACATCAAATAATGCAAGTTGGAAAGCGTACCTTCAAGGCGTTTTTTGAATGGCGTTAATGTAGGGGCAAAGATGACGTTGGTCGGAAGAGTGTTCCAGGCAAAGAACACACGGAGGGAGAACACGTTTCCCGGACAATCAAATTGACTGTAGTGCGTAGCCAGTCTGAGCCGATGACCTCCCACTTTGGTATTTTGGCTTAGCTGCAATATATTACGAAATGGGTGAATTGGGTTTGTCAGCAGTAAGCAAACTATGATAAGTTCACCTTGCTGACGTCAATCTTCACCACTGTGCATCCTCAGGGAATGCAGTCTGCGCTGGTATACGAGATGCAACAATCCTCTAACGTGTTTGCTTACTCTACTTTGTGGAGTTACCAGTGTACTAATGTCGCACTTGCGCGAGGGTCGCTAGGCCTGGCTCGCATATTGCACGTGGGGCCTCACGTAGGCGTACGGCATTTGCGGAAAGCTTGCTGGCTAGAAATTTCCGAAAGCCCTCCGTAAGTGCCCAGGAAATTGACAGGCACTTTTCGAGACGTATTCTTCCTGTCCAGAGCAGCCACGATCGTCCTGCACGATCATCCCGTGGTTGCTGTTATGGGAAGCACATTGCACCTGTTGGTCTCCAAGTCGATATTCATGGGTAAGCTTTTTTGTTGGATTACGTTATCGGATGACCATGTATGAGTCCTGTCGAGATCGCTTTGCAATGTCAGGTGACCATCCACTGCCTTGATATCATGCCAGATTTGGACATCAACTGTAAATAGTATGAAACTCGAGTTCAATACACTGGCACATCGTTGATGAATGCTAGGAATATACGTGGCCCCAGTACCGATTATTGGGGCACGTCACACTGTACTTCAATTTGGTCGGAAATTGAGCTGCGAACTGTCACAGCCAGCTGAAGTTCAGTAAGGAAGTTGCCGATCCAAATGAGCACAGTCACACCGCTTCCATTTTTTCGAAACTTGTCAGAAGAATGCGGGGGTCCAAACGATCGAACGCTTAAGAGCAATGCAGGTAGACGACGTCGATTCCCTCTCTGACGTCAGCTGACTGTCTCCAGTTTCCTCGGGCTGGAAGCGTGTTTGTACTGCAAGACAGATTTCAGCGGAAACCTTGCTGATGTGGCATAGGATGTTGTTATTCTCAAGGTATCCCATGAGTGTAATGAAACAGACCAGAGTGGGTGTTGATATTGGGCAAATTCCTGAATTTGTCTGAAACCGCAACCTGTAGGTAAGCACCCAAAAGGACAAGTTTAGCAAAACACGTGCCACCGTTCATCTTCGCCAACATGCCCTCCGGCAATTGTCGAGGATACTAATGGTCGTCGAGAGTATCATTCAGTCCTGTGGAGTAGTCCGCACAAATTCGGAAATTTACATTTGGCTGGTCTACGACGACGATTGACGCAACCCAAGAAGAATGGGTTATCAGCTTTCTTTCAGGTGTTAGGATTCAGAGTCAAACATTGGCAAAGTTGTATGAGGAACTGGTCTTTTTGGTCTGAAACTTTGTTCAACGTTCGGGGGCATATGACAAATAGCTTTTACTTTCGAGCTGCACACAAGGGTAACCGCAAAAGCCGTACTGAAGTTATTCAACAAGACTAAAATGTCAGAGGTAGTTGTTCGCAGTCCCCCCTTAGTCAGCAGGTTTCTGCACGTCTAGTATTTTTACAGGTATGTAAAAACCTGCTGACTGAGAGGGGACTATGAAGCATGACCTCAGAAATCAAACAAAAATTCTCGCTACTCATTAGGACTAAAATGTCTCCATTTAACTCAGGCAGCTTTGACACCCTTCCGATCTGGGTGGTTGGTAGTGAGCACAGCTTGTTGATGGGTGTTCCAAACGACCAATCAAGTCATTAGCAAGAATTTCTAGTTCACATGCATTCACGTAGAAAGTATCGTTTTGGCGCTTGCCCATAATTTTCAGCTTACAGTTAAATTCGCCAAGCGATTGCATCATACTGCCGGATGTAATTCTGGCGGTAGACTGGTGAACCCAGTTTCTTTCAAGTACTTTTTAGCTACGATCGTCACATCGGATGACGTATCGAGTTGCAAACGAACCACCATTCTGTTTATCCTTTCAGTTATGTATTTACGTTGGTGTTTATATTTTCGTATCTTAAAAAGACCTATTTTCAAGTGTAAGTTGGTTTAGCCCAACTGCGGTGAAGAAGCATCAAGAATGCAACATCAGCCTCAGCATGGGGCACACATACATACATGGTTGGCGACATCCGGTTTCGGATTTGCCTTTCCGCTTTATTTGGTATGTTCTGCCTCCCTGAATAATGTTCCATTAACTGGCCAAGTTGCTTACACTAATTGCGCTTATCTTCGGTAATTTTGTTGCGTTTGTAGCATTTTAAGTAACTTGTGGACATTTCTTACTTATCACGGATTCGTTGCTAACCAACTTACTTCATATGGTAATTTAGCGAAGAGTTATGCCACCGTATCTGTATGCATTGTTGGATTTATTTTATTTCAGCTTTTCGTTTAAATTGAATGGCTGTTGTTTGATATCCCTGGTATGGTTGCGCTTGATGTGTATGTTGACAAGGTGCCTACCTGTCTATTACCCACTACATCGTTCATACTGGCTCCAGGAGACAGTTGGTCGTTGCTGGAGGGGACGGGGTGCACGGTTCTTGTGGCCGTGCTAGGCTCAAAGAGCGGTTCCATGCACTCAGTGTGGAGCGGAATACGGTCCAGCCACCGCCTTGTGTGCGGTTGATTCCCCAAATACAGCGTGCTTGTGTTTGCCTGTGAAGGAGTGTGGGCCGGCTCCGTTGATGAAACGTGGTTCGTATCCGCATGCCTCCCGGTCTTATTCCTTCGGGTTTACACTGGATATGGGGTATGTGGTTGGAGCTGTGAGTGGTGCAGCGCAAGCCAACCATGGTCCCTCTGTAGGCGCAGGCGTCCTGTGGCTTGCCACAGTGACAGGCAAATCCGAAACCGGATGCCGCCAACCATATTTTCGTATCAATTGTTGCAAGTGCCTTCTTGAATTTGGCCTATGTCCCATGTAAGAAGCTAATAGATCGGCGTCTTTGGCCAGGTG